GTGCCGTTGTTGATGAGGCCGTCGCCGTTGCGGTCCAGCGCCAGCAGGCCATCGCCGCCACCGATCCAGCCCCACTGATGGGTGACGCCGTTGCCGTTCAGGTCGAACTGCACGCCATGGGCTGCGGACAGCGTCTCGATGCCGTTTCCGTTCAGGTCCAGCACCAGCGGTGTCGACGACATCAGCGCGTTGAACTGGTCGGTGCTCATCGCGTGGGTCTGGTCCGACGTCAGCGCCAAGGTCTGGGTCATGTTCATGGCCGCCAGATCCCGGGTCTCGAAGGCCTGGATCTGATCGGTCGTGAACGCCTGGATGTGGTCTGTCGTCAGCCCTGCGATCGCCGCCGTGCTGAAGGCCGCGATGTCTTGCGTCTCGATGGCACGGATGTGGTCCGTCGTGAACGCGCCGAGCTGGGTCGATGTCAGCGCCGCGAAGTGTTGCGTGTCCAGCGCCTGGATGCTGTCGGTGCTCAGCGCCTGCAACTGGGCCGTGCTCAGCACGTGGAACTGGGTCGTCGTCAGCGCGTGGATGTCCGCGCTTTCCATCGTCGACATCTGGCTGGTCGTCAGCGCAGAGATCTGCATCGTCGACAGGGCCTGGATCTGGATGCTCGTCAGCGCGTTGAGGTCATCGCTGACGAGGCCGGCGATCTGGCTGGTGGTCAGCGAGGCGACCTGCTGCGTGGACAGCGCACCGATCTGGTCGGAGTTCAGCGCTTCCAGCTGGGCCGTGGTCAAGGCGCGCAGGGCGGCGGTGCCGAGGGCACGCAGGATCCTGCGTCTCGATGGCGGCCATCTGGTCCGTCGACAGGCCGGCGACCTGGCGCGAGTTCAGCGCGGCGAACTGCGCCGTGTCCATCGCCACGATGTTGTCGGTGCTCAGCGCGCCGAGCTGGGCCGAGGTCAGCGCGCGATCTGGTCCGGTGGCTCAGCGCGGCGACATCGGCGCTCTCCATCGTCGAGATCTGGGCCGTGGTCAGCGCGGCGAGCTGGGCGGTGCTCAGGGCGCGGATCTGGCCGGAGGTCAGGGCGTTCAGGTCATCGCTGACGAGGCCGGCGATCTGGATGGTGGTCAGCGAGGCGACCTGCTGCGTGGACAGTGCGCCGATCTGGTCGGAGTTCAGCGCTTCCAGTTGGGCCGTGGTCAGCGCACGCAGGGCGGCGGTGCCGAGGACACGCAGGTCCTGCGTCTCGATGGCGGCCATCTGGTCCGTCGACAGGCCGGCGACCTGGACGGAGTTCAGCGCGGCGACCTGGCGCCGTGCCCAGCGCGACGATGTTGTCGGTGCTCAGCGCGCCGAGCTGTGCCGAGTTCAGCGCAGCGATCTGGCCCGTGGTCAGCGCGGCGACGTCGGCGCTCTCCATCGTCGAGACCTGCGATGTCGTCAGCGCGGCGACCTGGGCCGTGCTCAGCGCACGGATCTGGCCGGAGGTCAGGGCGTTCAGGTCATCGCTGACGAGGCCGGCGATCTGGATGGTGGTCAGCGAGGCGACCTGCTGCGTGGACAGTGCGCCGATCTGGTCGGAGTTCAGCGCTTCCAGTTGGGCCGTGGTCAGCGCACGCAGGGCGGCGGTGCCGAGGGCACGCAGGTCCTGCGTCTCGATGGCGGCCATCTGGTCCGTCGACAGGCCGGCGACCTGGCGGAGTTCAGCGCGGCGAACTGCGCCGTGTCCATGGCCACGACGTTGTCGGTGCTCAGCGCGCCGAGCTGTGCGGAGCTCAGGGCCGCGATCTGGGCGGTGGTCAGCGCGGCGACGTCGGCGGTCTCCATCGTCGAGACCTGCGATGTCGTCAGCGCGGCGACCTGGGCCGTGCTCAGCGCACGGATCTGGCCGGAGGTCAGGGCGTTCAGGTCATCGCTGACGAGGCCGGCGATCTGGCTGGTGGTCAGCGAGGCGACCTGCTGCGTGGACAGCGCACCGATCTGGTCGGAGTTGAGCGCTTCCAGTTGTGCCGTGGTCAAGGCGCGCAGGGCGGCGGTGCCGAGGGCACGCAGATCCT